TCCGCTCGTTAAAACGGCTGTGAAACGGAAAGTACAATTTGAGACTACAATTAAAGTGCACTTTACGACTAACTGGTAAGCCAAAAATCCGATTCGTACAAGTGCACTGCGCCGCATGCGGATAGGATGCAGGCGTTTTAACGAGCGGGAAGCCCAGTAATGTGACTGCAGTAATTAGTGTAATGCGTTGGGAGCCCATATATAAGATTTTGCGAAGCAGTTTTTTTAATGAGAGTTAAGTATTAAGCAGCGTGAAATTCGGACATTTTGGAAAAAAGTTTAACGCAGTTTTTGGCATGACAAACTGGGAGGTCAACAAAAGGCATTTGCGTATGTTCCGAATCAGAATCTATGTTTGCGGTAGAACTTTAATTGTGTTGAATAATTTATGTTTTTATTAAGGGAAGTGACCCCGGTACATGAAGCTAAATTTGAATACATCCAAAAAAAGTTTTAATCTCCCGCACTCCCAAAGACTTTTTTTGAATCGGTTTATTGCGTTCTATTGCCAAATGATTTTTGTTTACAGCGATATGAAAACCGTGTGTGCGCGCACCATTCGGTTGAAGAGATATGAATAAAATATCCTTGTTGTTTTATTTATCTGTCAAAATGCACATCAACGAGCACCACTCACTATATAGATCACATAAAGAAAATATTTTGTCCCAGTTAACATGAGAAGGGACTGGGCACAAAATATAATCGAAGAATTAAAACAAAAAGGCACCAGAAGTCTCGCTATCGACCGATCGTTTTTCCAAAGAATCCTTTGGAAACCTAAAGATCCTTTTGACAAGAAACCAAGCTTCCATCTTTCCATATTTAAATGTACGAGTATATTCAAAATTTTAAAGTCCGCTTTAGAAGTAAAAAATGACTCCGTGCCAAAATGATCTTCATGCTTATTTGCATTTTTTCGCAAAGTGTGAAGGAGATTGGTACCTAATGAAACCTTTATTACACCTTGCTTTTAAACTTTGTATTTTTCTTGCAGCCATAACTCCCGGTCGGATGTTGCGCGCCCAAATGGTTTTTACGCCAATTCTCACATCTTATTTAACAACATGCGCTTGTAAAATAATGCAACCAGGTGTTAAGGCGGGAAATTAATTGTTTCCGTGCAAGTAACCGAATTCGGCACCATTTGCCAGGTGATATATTTTCTTTAGTAAAACCCCGGGTTCCTATATCTCCACGAGGAGACCGAAGATACTGATGCTCAAGCTGTTAAACAAGTTGGTAGGTACAACTTTCCAAACGAACAGAAATTAAAATCCAGCCCTGCAAGGGCCAGAAACAACACGGCAGCCAGCAACGGCATTATAGTGGCTGCTGCGGTATCGAAGCGTCACTTTGCGATGAACGTCCGTAACGGGCAGGATTCAGAAGTTGCAGTACCATCGCAGTTAATTTTAATGCGTCGGGCAACTAAAGATCGCTGCGCAGCGATATGCTTCGTCCATGACGTATCAACTGAGTCACTTTGTATAGGCCCGCAAAAGCACGGCAGCCATTAATGGCCTTGTAGCAATGAAATGGCGGACGCCATAGCGCTATTTTGTTACGATTTTTTTCTACCAGAAATCCTATCTGCAACGGAAAGAAACCTAAAACTACGGTACCGCTGTATATGCACGCTTCGTCGCGGCAACAAACGACAACGTCGTAGACCCGGGCTGCGGTAAGGGCGTCATAGTTATTTTTCCCTTACCAGCTTCCGTAACGAGCTTTCGTAACGGCCTCAACCTAGACATTCGCTACGCTTCGGTCGATTATTACTTCGACTTTTTCACATAGTTATCATTACACGATGGGCTAGTACTAGAAGTATCTTTGATGAACTACATAGCAATATTGATAAATCGTTGTCAAGGTACGATAAAAGTTACTTTTAGCATACCACGAAAAAATTCCTAGTGTGCCTTGCAGATGGAATCTGAATCGGTAATAGTAGGTGATACTGCAGACAATTGACCCATACGCATTGTGGTTTTATGGAAAAATCGCACTAAAGTTAGGGCGGCCCACTGACGATATGCTACCCGCTATTTTGCAGACGTTTTGCTGACCGGCAAAATATTTACCGACAATTCGTTGAGCGCTGACATTTTGCTGACAACACTCTGATGCCCGACAAAACAGCTTCCCCAAACCCAGTAAAAATTCTTTGAGATCTAAAATCAAATAACACCTAAGCAAAAATAAGAAAGTATGAGAAACATAAAAAAAACCTTATGTTACATACACCACCGGGATTACAAGAACTAAACCTGGGCAAACTGGTAATTCTATAAAACATGAGCACCGACGGAAGCACTTTGAGCCCTAAGCAACAAGCTATCCAGTAAACACGCACCGGTAGTTGAGAAACCCAGGAACCTGACCGATGGTCGGCCAACAAAATAGTTTCCGCAAAACGTCCCGCAGTGAAATTGTAGAAAAGCGAACTTAGGTAGCAATCTATCGGTTAGCAACTCGTGGTAGTTAACAACATTGTCGTACAGCAAATTGTCGGAAAGCAAAACGAAAATTAGTAAGAAAAGCGACTTGTTAACCTGAGCTGCGCGAAACACTGAAGCTAGCCATTGTCATCTCCAGTTTGTTATCGCAATCTATATGGTGGCACGCCGGCCGTATGAACTGTTTTTATCTGCGCTTAAGAAGACAAATAAAAATTTTATTAGTTCTCCAGCAGCGCGTTTTTCAAAGGCTGTACGTAAGTTCAGCTGCTTCTGAGCTAGGTCTGGCATCAGCCACTGCATCCGTAAACTGTATAGCAAGAAAAATTTTATAACGTTTTGACAATCATAACACATTGACACTGTTCTGCGTTCGAAATTTTGCGAACACAGCGATTAGCAGCTTTTGTTGCAAATTGCAGAAAATCACTTGTTACGAAACGCCAAAAAAATTAACAACAATGCAAAGATATTAAGGTTAGGCCAACTAAACCATTGCTCATTACAATTTTTCAGTACTTCCATTTTAGGATGGCTGCTGTACCCAATGGAAGAAATGCCCCTGCGGATCGAAATGTGGCTACTTTTCCTTGAAGGTGCGCATGGTTCCTCCAACAGGCCGGTTATTTTCCGCTAAACAATTCGAGAGATAATCGTTCCGACGCACTGCCATTCGGTGAATGAAAAAAAACTGCCTGGTTTTAGTCATCGCATTTAACTGCTTCTTGTACTTGGCCAACCAAGAAAACGTCTGCTCGGCAGCCATGGTATTTCGTTCAGTGAGAGTAGGATGGCTCGCTGAGTACTTATTGGGATGGTATTTTTCTTTACATTTAGGATCCTTGTGGTTCTGAATGTGCAACCCATCCACGATTTTGGATACACGACTCCACAGTTGATCGAAGGGCTCGGGGAAAGGCAAAGGCTCACCTGCAGCTTTCAGTCGGTTAAGTTGACAGATGTTATCATAACATACAAAGATGTTTCCCCACTATTCCGGCGCAACTTTTTGCAGCAACTCATAGAGTGCGCTGACAATAAAAAGGTACACCTGCCCAAGACTTTCAGCTCTGGAAAAAAACGCATGTCATTCGCAATACTGCTTTCGTATCATACAGCAATTATTTGTCCCCTGCAATTTATTAATTGCTACCAGAACGCTAGCACAAACAGTAGTAGAAAAGCAAAAAAAAAACATTAAGCTTTTCTTCGTTGTATCATATTCTTCTTCATTCTGTCCCAGCATTTCTTCAAATGAAACAACGGTAGATTTGATTTCGGTAAATGACTATTCTTCGTTTCGCGAGAATGGGCAGGTAATTCTAGTTGCTGTGTTGTGGTAATGCGCAACCGTGCAAACTGCTGTTATTTGCGGATGGAATGCAGTCATTGTACTGATGCCGAGCCAGTGCAAAGACGCCGTTGCAATGCGATTTTGTCTGTAAACTTCCGTGAAATTCAGGACGATAATTTGCAGTAATAGGAATATTTGCAGAGCGTGTGATGAGTTCATTTTTCTAGAATGTATTTGCGCGCTCGGATTAATGTTTCAAAAAGGCAACGCTTTTTCAGACGAACTTCCAGTTAGTTGGTCGGTGACTTTTATTTAGCGTCGGGATGTCCATTAAACTAATTGTCCGTCGCCTGGCAAGATGACCTTTCGGCGATATGTTTGCGGCTAAATGTTCTGCGACAAATCGTAATTGGCGAAATGTCGTGGTGCCCTCGTTCAACGCAGTGTGCCAACAGGATCATGAGCTAGTGTACCTGTAGATGGGAGCAAAGCTGAAAATATGTCCCGTTGGTCCAACAAGAAACAGATAACCGCGACTGTACAAATGCCCGCGCTGATTCTCTCCTTTCTCTTTTCTGCAACCGAGCTTGGGGTCAGACTTTCGACAGGCAATGTCTTCAGGCTCAGCATCTACTTCCCCGCTTAGAATCGAGTCGATGTCGATTCTTGCTTTAGTCTGCAGAGCCCTGGAAACTCCTGCAACAATCGAAGACTGGCGGCACCAACCTTACAAAGTATATATAGACTTGAATATCTTTCTTGACTTAAGCGACAACTGTGCGTCGAGCAATCACATTTTACAGATCCAAAAGCGAACAAGACGTAGCAAAAATAAATGCACAGCACCACTTGAAGTGCTCTGTACGAGGAGATAACCAATCGATAGTGGATTCGTTATTTTACGACAGGCTGACGAAAGTGCCTATCTACGGCAGACGTATCTACAGCATCAGCATACTAACATCCACGATTGATTATTAGTTTACTGTCACCAGTGGATAGCACAATCGACAACGAATACTGTATATGCAGTCTGCACAGAATAGCCACAAGTACAGCTATCCACGCATGGCCACGATTAATGAATGGCCACTATCCACTATCAATGAAAAATTCCGCCTAAATACCCATTTGTATCCAGAAAATAACCTCAGCAGTTCTTTACCTGCCATATGAATAGTGATTCGATCGGTTTCCGTTCCGCTTTCTTTATCAAAGATACGGTGTTTCAGACAAAACAGGGACCTGCCACATGGCGAATGCGTGCAAACTTGAGGAAAGTTAATCAAAGAAATTCCTTCAACGAAATTCTGAAAAAGCCAAATCATGAATTCGAGGTCATGAATATTTAATAATCATTAGAGACACGGCGACTTTAATGTAAACATTGATGAGGTTAAGTCAGTTTCATATATTAGCTAACCACTTGTACGTTCTAGTCTGGCGGTAGATAGTTATTCATAAATCACGAAAAACAATGACAGTTCGTGTAAACGCTTACATACAACGATGGGGCTGGAAACTATTTTATAATGCTGATATAGTTTAGCAGCAACACTATGATCGGTAAATAGACCTAATAAGGAAGATCTACTGAATTGTATAACACACCCAGCGGCTACTTACCCGCACTTCTGCTATACAATGCCGGAACACGATTTTCCAAAGTCCGTCCATAATAAACAGTCTTCCACACCCTTTGGCTACGCACTCGCCAGAACAGCGGTGTTCGTATGTGCTTGCGAAGATCTCGTCCATACGCTTGTCCAAATATTGCAAAACACTTCTCTGCTCTTCAAACTGGAAGGTGATCTTCTGCTCTCTGATGTCGCATTCAATCTCGTGTCGCAGGAAAATAACCGCCACGGTTTTTCGCGAGAACACTGAGACGAAACAAGACACACTCAACGCTTTTAAACTGGCCTGAAACTGTCTTGTATTAATTGAGACACTTATGACTCACATTTATTCCAACCATATGTGTACTTCATAGTTTCCGCGATTCCGTCGTAAGTTGCGTGATTAAAAAATCTAAATAATAAGTACTGTACAATTAGCAAAGCTGGAGACAACGTAGCCGAAGCATACATGTTATTCACGATTTCTTGGGCAAATTTCCTGCAGACGTAAATGTCCTGAGAGACATCAATGAACGGCTGCTCCACATCGTAAAAGGAATATGTAGAAGTCTGTCGGTTCGACCATGTGCATGGAGAGTAGCGGGACTCACAACCCCGGCATCTCAGAGTAACAGCCAACCCCTGAATAACCTTTCCAGCGCCGCAAAATATTGTAACCTAATAAATAATCAAATTTTTCTCCATAATCAGCTGAAATACACAATTGATGAATTCTGCAATATCGGTTTTTAAATAACAGACAATCATATCTGTAATTTTAATTTACCGTTGAAATTTATGAAGCAAAAGGTAAAGAATCTAGAAAACTCGGCATCTTTGATGCAAAAATAATGTAAATTAGACGCTATAAAGTAGGTTTTTTTGGGAAGAAAACGCAAAATGCCCCGTGGACTACTGTGCTAGATGAATGAATACCCGAACTGCTACTGCACTAGGAAGGTTCACTCGCTTTTGGCGGGCACTGCATGACCAAAGGCTCCAAAGCGTAGCATGATTCTAATTATGGCAGATAATACACATCAGGTTGTTGGCAGTATAAGTCCATTATATGATGTTTACAGTTATCGATGCAGAACTATTAGCACTACTTTATCTTTTGCAGAGCTGCCGCAGATTAATAATTTGATGAAAAGTAATTTTAGCGAAAATAGGCAATTAGTAAAAAATGCGGCAGTTTACAATAGCCGTCTCGTATACGGACGACGGAACAGCCATTGCTATAATTCTGACCATTGGTATTGCTACTGCCGCATTTTAACAAGTAACCGCTGCGTTAACTTACCCACGAAATGCGCTATTTACATACTATCTTCTACCACATAGCAAAGCGCCCATAACTTCCATACCTTAGTTGGATTACGGTGCCATGCCAAAACTCTTGGCATTCCTTTATTAGGTCCCTTTTTCCACGCACAACCTTTTAAACAATGGGTTACTGGGGGACACAGCACTTCGAGCGGAGCAACGAAAGGATCGCCTGTTAGAAAATCGGGCGAGTAAGATCCGAAATCTTTTAAAAACATCTCTCCCAATGTCGTCGACATCCCCATCATTTCGGATAAAATCTGGAAAAATAAGTCAATCCCTAGTTCACACGCTCAACACGGTAGTACGTAAATTTTCTGATTTTAGTTTTGCTTCATTACAATCTGATTACCGATATATTGCTAATTCACAGAACCTCCTTAATCGACAAACTACTTACCGACGAACACAATGCTTTTCAACTACTGTATTTGCTGCCCGACTATTCACAGAAATGCGACTAGTGTATTTTGCTGCCCCACGCTTTACAGAAAACATTTTACTGATAGATAGTTTCACCTTTAGTTAATTATTTTTTGTGCTTTTTTCATGACTTGACGCAGTAAATCCGCTACCGACTGCTGTGCAACTGGTTGTACACTTAAACCTTTTGGGAGTACCCTACCGGTCTGTACTCGTGTTTATAATCAGAATCCACTAACGTCCGACCGCCAAATGAAAAACTGTAAATTTGTAGATTTACTAACTCCTCGCATAAAAATTAATAATTCACCATCAACATGTTCTCCAGCAATGATGCCCTGCTGACAGCAGATAAAGTGTTAGACTGATTACATTGCAATGCCAAGCGGACCGGCTTCACCGCGGTCGATGGTAGTGTACAGACGAGATGAAGGAGTGCGTAACAACGATGCATCATGCGTCTGCTAGGAGCAGTCGTAGCATCCTAGACACGACACGCAGTGTTTTCCGGTGCCGTCGTTTGCAATAAAAACAATCACGATAAAGCAATAAAAATCGAACAAACATGGTTTTAATAGCGAGCGAAAAATATCTTGGCGTGGCTGAACGAACTATCTAGAGCGGTTGAATGATGATTACGTACAGAGAACTAAATGAGAATTTGACGAATTCTGTACCTTTGGCCTTGGTGCTGACGGCAGCCCCAGAAAATCTTTCATATAAAAAAAACTTTTACTTTTCATGTATTTGCAGAAACAGTAACCATCGCATAGCCTAATTAATGAGGCATGTCCACATTGAAGCTAGAAATAGCGAAATAACAATTTCAATAGCCTAATGCATCTTCATTATTTGTAACTATTTAATCAAACTGGAGCACCAGACACAAAAACAATTTCAAATTTTAAAGCTGGCACAACAAGATTTCCTCCTAATAATAGTAGCAAGCGACTCACCTTCAACCGTCGGAAGTACGGTAAAGTTACTGGTACTGCGGCGGAACAAATCTTGAGCCGCTCAACATTTTTGAGGCCGTACTTTTCAACCATAAAAGAAGATGCCTCACGAGAGTTCGTTTCAAGCTTTATTCTTTTGGCCATTTCGTTGAAAAACTTGCAAGTGGAAATAACAAATTTGCGTTTACTACCTACGACCAAAGAAATCTGCGAAAGAAGCAAGATCAGAACGAAGATGATCAGACAAAAGCCGTAGAGCGCGAAAGATGAAATAAGCCGACAACCTTTGTGATGCCGCCGCTGTACCGATGCCGCGCACGGCAGCGCATTCGGCATGCTAACACGGGTAAACCGGGTAGGCCATAAGCAAGACCATCATTTTAACGACGTGTTGCTGGTGATTGGGACGTTTGCGGACCGTCCTAATAATTTCTAAAAAAGACGTGCTGCTCACTGCATTGTTACGTAAAATAAAATTTTCGTTTTTATTTGATCGAACTACTTCTTTCTCTAATCGGCACAGCTTATCTCTGCCCAAAGATGGATTTATCGGTAAACTATACGCTTTTCCCCCTTTTACTCAATTAGCCAACATCTTTATTGGTTACAGACGACCGGCTGTTACACGTTTGATGTGGACAAGGGAAAGACCTTCAAAGTGGCAACACCGAGAGAGCAGGATGACGGCCGCAGGGAAGTTCTAAGCTGCGCAATTGAAATCCAAGCGATTATCTGTGGTGATGAAAGTGATACGGACGCCGGATACCTTGTAGACGTGGATTGCGATCAATTCGGAAAATAGTGAGTTTACTATAATAGCACACTAAATGTCGCAAGTCACGGATGCGCTGTCTTTCCTCGATATTAGTCACAAATTTTTATTCCAACTGCAGCAGTAACATCGAAGGCTGCCCAGACTTTAAAACAAACTTCCACTGCTGACGCGCGCAGTATGGGAACAAGGCTATCTAAAAAACATTCACTGCACAGCTGATACGGCGGTTTTATAAAACTAAAACATTATTGGGTTTCGCTTCGTAAAAAATTGCAGTACTGCTAGTGGTAATGTAGTTGTAAACCCCTACCCAGCATCGCTAAATGAAGCACACATTTTATGAACTAAGGTCTAGCATAATATTAAAACCGCTTTTCAAACACTGTGCTGTTTATTAGGTCTTATATATCGTCATTATCAAATCTGTGGCACGCACCACAATAAGGGCAACCCTGAAGTTGTCGCAAGACGCGCCGTAGTTATTAGGCCGTAAATATCCTTCCTATTAAACTCATAATTAGACAATTTTTAAAAATGCTGTGGTGAATACTACCAAAGAGTTGCATACATGTTCTGAGATGTCGCACGCAAGCTGTGCAACTACATCCTGTAGACCCGAGAACTACACCAACAAAACGCGTTCAGATTTGATGAAGCAGGGTGCGTTCTTGTTTCGGAAATAATGGCCTGTCCCGAAATTTATCGCGTAAAAAATAGCACCCCTAAAAATGGTGCTGGGGAGAGGCGGCTCACGTACAGCGACAAGTCTTCCAAAGTATTTCAACACTTTGCGCCGTGGTGCAGTGGTGCTGCCTACGCGGGTCTATCGACGTAGCAGGGATTCGATTCCCCCATCGGTGCACTTTTCAGTCGTTTCTTGGTTTTCTTCGATTTGCGCCCTGCTTAGTGTGCCATCTCCGCAAAACAAGCGCACCTGCACCAGGGCGTTATAGTTCGAAGTATTTGCCGCCAGGTGCCAGAAATTAGGTATTTACGTGCGTTCATACGATTGGTCGTAAAGACTCGTAATAATCATTTGCTGATTTGCATGACGCTGGGCTTGAAAAGAAAATATGTACAAAGTGTGAAGATGAAAGTTTCAGGTAAAAATACCTGGGAACTTTAAACCAGAAAGAACGGGCTGAGGTTGCATTCTCGAGCAGCTATTTATAGAGTTTTCCAAACGCTCTTTTTGCATAACTGAAATTTTTTTGATAGTAAACTTAAGAATTTTCCGCTTTAGTGATTTATTTTCCGTTACTTTACTTTTATCGGAATGTACCATCGGGTACATCCACTTGGCAGTATGGGCACTCATAAACTGTAGCAGAAAGGTCATCGGAAGACCGCTATAGCGTTCCGATTTTCAAGCAGCAAACAGCTGGCGTAATTTACGAATGGCGAAGTACCAATGTGGCAAGAAGCGAGACTGTTGGAGTACGATTTGCTCTTGATAGCTCATGGGCGCTGAGGCATTCTTTGAGTTACACTATCGTTCGTGTTTTTTCTATCTAGATGGTGACGAGATACTAACCAGTTCCGTTACGTATTTTAGCAAAGGATTTCTCTCCATCACCGCTTGGAACTCAGCAGAAAGTCTGAAGACGGCTTTGAAGAAAGGCTGCAAAGGCTTGCCTGCGATATTCTGCAAAATGAGCCAAAATGACCTTCAAGAATACGGCAAATTTCTGACAAGCGATTATATTCAGTAAGTAGCTGTCTTTAAAAAACCTTTTAGGCGTATTATATGAAACACAAAAGATATGTAATCGTTAAATCTTCACTGCACACTTCTGTTCTAAACCAATATCGTGTTGAAATGAAGCGTTAATAGCGTTGATGAACCGATATTACAGAAATATGTTTTTTCTTTAGGAAAGCCAAAGAACGCGGTGACCCGCTTGTCCGAAAAAGAGTAATCCGCCATGGCCGGCAAGCGGACGGGGATACTGTGGTTTTCGGCCCGGAAACTGCATTTCGTAAAACTGAAGTGGGCGACTTCCAACGCGTCGACCTTTCCGCAACGGAATTCGTTTGGGTTCCTGGATCGCTGCCTGAGCTGTCTGTCCCTAAAACTTTACCGCCTGATTATGACGCTCTGTCGTTCCTGTCATCTTTACTGCCAGAGAAAACAATGCTTGGGCTCTGCATGGCACTAGGTAAGACCCAAAAGAAGCGAAGAGCAACAATAATTCTCATGTAATTGAATTTATTTGGATGTAATTTTTTCAAATTAAAATTTTCTTGGAGAAATTGTCGGTGAGCCATCAAATTACGGAGAACTGATTTTTGCTGTGCCGCACAAATGGAAAATACACTGGTTTTATTTTTTAAATTTTTCTACGAATTTTTTTAAAACCGAAGATGTAGCAAAATTAACGTTGACAAATACGTTCCCTTTGGCAACTTGACGCAAGTTCAGTCCAACTGATCTTTCTCTACATCTGCTCGGCATGCCATTCTACGATATAATACACAATGAAAATGCAGCGCGTTACAAAAAGCATTTAATGCGCTTGCCAAAGTATAGTGCGCGTTGCGCCCTGTGCAGTACTTGCTATCGACATCGCAAAGCAACGGTGGCAAGTTTAACCTCTCCCGTGAAAGGACGAAGGTGCTATTAAACGTACCCGCACCCATGAAGATACAGATACAGCACCTTAACGTTATAAAGCCAGTATACTGCATTGTGCATACTGTAGTGCAATCAGGGGCGCTTATGCTTGTACGGTACTTCACGTTCTACTTATAGCATTTATGCTCTCACTGAAAATCAATGGTTTTGCACTGTTGGAAAAATTATGACTTAGCGAAAAATGAATTTACATGGCGCTTTTTGTGCCAGCTGATCTTTAATTTGTACGTTTTTGAGAGTTTATAAAACGTAGCTGCTGCTTTGCCTCCACGTTTCTTGCCATCCACGGCCGGTTTGAGCAAAGAATTCGTTTATTTCTTTGATAAAAGGGTGAACACGTTAAGCTGTCGCATGCCGATGTAATATTGTACTACATAATTCACGCACCAGTATTAAGTCTGCCAACGCATAGCAGTTGACGCAGGCGAAAGGTTTTCGTCAGTTTTAAAAATCGCTATTCCGTACTCTTAATCATGCATTTTCAGGGGGCGCTTATGCTGGTTTTCATTACGACGTTACCATTGCAAATTTCAAGCGAATGCCGGTACTGTTCTTGTATGGAGACACAAACTGCGGGAAATCGTTTGTTGCCAGTATGGTGTTGGAAATGTTTGCGCAAGGCGCATCTCAACTGTGCGACTTAAAAAGTACTACCGTAGCGGCACTGAGAGACTTCATCACAACACAAAACCTTCCGGTTGTGATACACGATCCAGTCGGCCCAGAAATTGTGAAGGCAGCAATCGAAGACACCTACGAGAAGAAAGCGTTAGCGAATTACACAGAACGGAAATATCCGCGGACTTCGGCAATTATTACGCTGAACTCTGATGCACTGGCAGACTTTCGTAACTTTGACGGGTGGGTTGTATCAGGTTTTACCTGTTTGTTATACAGTTAGAATAAACGAGACAATTCCACAGCATCCGAGGCATATCGCGCGGGAGTCTTGTGTCTTTCTCGGAGCAAATTGCGGAACGCAGTGCCTCGATTCAGGACAAGAGTTCGTTCAGCTTCCTGTCGCAGCATGCGGAGAAACTGTACGTATGCCGCGATACTGAGATTGCGGCAGTCGCGCGTTACAGTGACTCAATCTTCCCCGAAGTTATTGAAATGTTGACGAAATACGGCATGGGTCAGTCAAAGCAGCGAATTGGTTTCAACGTATCCTTGATTTATGGATACACTTGCACGGTAAGCGCTTACGGATTCCCCGACACACGCACACTAGCCCACACACGACTACCAATGACTTCGATCGTTTTCATTTCGGCCACCCTCATTTCGGCCAAAGCATTCGGCCGTCATTCACTTCGGCCGCAGCACACATCGCCGACGTCCACTTCGGCTAGCGTACTCTTCGGCCGTCATTCTACAAGCGTAAGATCTTAACCTTGACGCAAAATCTCGATACAAGTCAGATGTACTAAAAAAGAACCGCGTCAACCTTCAAGACAAAAAATACACATTCCAAACCGAGCTTAACTGAACAAAGTGCCTAGTGAAAACCGCTTATGCATATTTCAGCATTAGGACTGGCTCAATCCGTACCAAGATCACGTTGCGCAGCGCGTTGCGTTTCCGACAAAATTATCCGCCGCAACAAGACGGCAGTACTGCTCTTCGTAGCGCCCGACAAAGCATCTGCAAACGCCGCAACGTGCAGCAACGGGCCGCAACCGTGCTAGCCCGTATGCTGCACTGGTCTGCTGCAACGCCGCAACAGCCGCAACACGGCTTATAAGCCGCAACGTGCAGCAACGGGCCGCAACAGTGCTAGCCCGTATGCTGCACTGGGTTTTTGCAACGCCGCAACACGGTTTATAAGCCGCAACGTTCAGCAACGGGCCGCGACAGTGCTAGCCCGTATGCTGCCCTGGGTTGCTGCAACGCCGCAACAGCCGCAACACGGCTTATAAGCCGCAACATGCAGCAACACGGTTTATAAGCCGCAACGTGCAGCAACGGGCCGCAACAGTGCCAGCCCGTATGTGCTGCAACGCCGCAACAGCCGCAGCACGGCTTATAAGCCGCAACATGCAGCAACACGGTTTATAAGCCGCAACGTTCAGCAACGGGCCGCGACAGTGCTAGCCCGTATGCTGCCCTGGGTTGCTGCAACGCCGCAACAGCCGCAACACGGCTTATAAGCCGCAACATGCAGCAACACGGTTTATAAGCCGCAACGTGCAGCAACGGGCCGCAACAGTGCCAGCCCGTATGTGCTGCAACGCCGCAACAGCCGCAGCACGGCTTATAAGCCGCAACGTGCAGCAACGGGCCACTACAGTGCTAGACCGTATGCTGCACTGGGCTGCTGCAACGCCGCAACGTGTCTTATTAACTGAACATGGTGTGCATCCAGATTCCCAATTGGCCCTAAGGGTTTGATTGGGCAATCAACACTTTTCCTGTATCGCGCTTGCGCACTCCAACCTTCAGCCTAGATTAATCAGGAAACAATGGTACTCATCGGTTTCGTTTTTTCCGTTGCGGTAGGTTGAAAGACTGTGGTGTCAGGTTGTACGCAAAATGTAAAGAATTCATTTCTCAACATTTTCGTATTCAAAGGGTCAAAGAAAATTTCATGGGGAATTTAGTAGTCGGTGGAAGGAAATTGCATCCTGTGTATTGTATAGCGGTTGCTCCACAGTGCGTGATGCAAGCACATAAAACGCGCCATTGTAAACTGTTCTGCATATATCCCACGGTTCACTGTAAAAGTTTCCGCAACGGATTTGCCACCTGGATGCGTGCTCGATGTTATTTCTGGTGTTACAACCAGTCTGATAAATAAGGCCCACTAATCTAATACCTTCCAATGTACCAGGTAGCATCGTCAAGTGCCTCCAGTGTACTGTGACAATCTACCTTTATTTTACTGTCCTGCGGCAGATTTCTCGCTTGCGTTCGACACCTGCCTTAGCGGCTTTACCTGGGTGGCACTCTCGTAACCGCTCCATTCCGCACATAGTTATGATGCAGTAACTTCTTCGCGGTTAACATGTCATCCTCTGCACATGGAAAAAGGGACAGCGGAGGACTCAGTAACGACGGTTAACCAATATTAATCTAAATGTTGTCGAAGTTTACTGTGGAAGTTATCCACATCAACTCCTCTTCTAGGGTACTGTCTAATTGTCTGTGAGAAACTGTTAAGCAGACAATGCGAAGTATACAGACTATGCTCCTCGGCTGGACTAAAATTTTGCACGTGTCCTCAGTTCTCCCAGAAAGCGGAAATACAGAGTATTTACAGTTTTTATAGTATATGATTGTACGTACTGGTACACTGACGTACGAGTGCAGAGTATCTCGTGAATTGTTGTCGTGGGCTGTGAATAATGTGCCGTAGCAACGATCTACCTGTTGTCCGTTGTCGTCATATTGTTAAGCGATCATTTCTCTGGTTGGCTCCGTAGCGAGCAGTCGTATTAATAAAGTGCACATCGCTCACACCGCGCATATCTTTATAGTTTTGCAGGTTTTCTCGTAGACAGTGGATCAAAATTTAATGTCTATACAAGAGAAAATCAGGCTCATAGCCCGCTTACCCACGACACACAAGAGAAAATCAGGCTCATAGCCCGCTTACCAACGTCAAAGTGCAACTGGTAGCCACAATGCACAGAAACTGCTGACTAAAATAACTAAAGTCGTAAGCTAAATAAAACGTACATTTTTTCTTTAAAAACCGCTGCAGTTATCTGCAGTTACCTTGTCCGATTGATTCGTTACTTTCAAACAAACTGTTGTCTATTTGCAGGACTGACACTTAAACGCTCTCTCTTTTGCGTCTGTTAACCTGCCCTTCACGTTTCCGCACTTCAAATGAAACACAAGTTTGCAAGCCGAGCAAGCGATCCCGGGGTCCTTCATTTCCAGCGCAAGCCCACACTTAGCGCACTAAACAAACAAAAATCACCTACAAGACTGGCAGCGAATGACATGCAATAAAATGTAATAAGACTGATTTGATTACCTTTGCGCCATCATCGTTTGAAACGATTTGCACTTTGTATTTACTGGCTCGTGTTGCTGGGGCAGATCCTACGAATGGAAAAAAACCACGATGCCGTTTGAGTAAGAACTCACCATTACACACAAAAATGCGGGAGACTCTTTATAATCACAGTGAACAGCAAGCGCAGATGCAGCTCTTATGAAAAGCATACGACTAATTTTAATAGGCTGACATTAATATACCTGTGTTGGCAAGCTTGCGCTTTTTGGCTTTGCCTTCCGGTTCGGCAATCTCTGAAATGATAAGTAATATTGTTTTTAAATTCAGCGCAGGGCATAAAATTCCAGTACTGTCCACTATGGTGATTTGCGTAAAGCGAACAATTTATGGAAAAGAAGTAAATTTCGGTTGCAGGCAATTAATGGAAGTAGTTTGTCACCTTCATCAGAAGACTCGTCCTCCAAAGATTTTGGTTCCTTATTGAGACGACAAATGCCGCTGTCCTTTGTGGTTTCGGGCGATGCAATCCGTTCGCCCGGCGGGACACGCCCACCCGCTGAACACTGCTCCGTCACACCAGTGTTGTCGACTGAAACGGAAATCGACGGCGCGATGTTGGTGCCGATACCCAACTCAGTCATCCCTCCTGGATTGGCGCTGGTTGAATTGGATACAACAAGGTTGCTCTGCTGGTTAGTAGCAGAGGCCGGAGGCTTTGCGTTCGTAGGGTCTGACTGGTCTGGACCGGTAGCGGCCGTGCCCGAGATACCTTAGTGTCAAAATAAGATTGTTTTGAAGGGTAACTTCATTGTTACATGACAGCATCACCTTGCAATGTGCTCCTTACAGAAGCAAAGAGATTACTAATATTATCTGAAACTAAGATTTCTTTTTATTTTTTGCTTTCTCGATTCATTATAAACTGTGATTTGGAAAATATAAACAAATTTGCTGATTTGGTTTCCCTTTTTAAAGTTGAAGGTAGGACGGTTCTGCGGGAAAGGAAAAAAGACAAGTGCAACAAATTTTGGAGAGTTATCTGTATGAGTAGGCAAGAGATGACTGCCACTTGCACACGGACAGCTCAAAAACTCGTTTAAATACATTAGGAGCCACATAAAAAAGCCCATTTCAGATCGGATTTAACGTTATTTGTCAAGACTCCAAAAAGATGCTTACTTTTATGTATGCAAGTAGCAGAACTTTCTTTTTTCCCAACCATTCGATACTCCTTTTTCGTACTGTTTTTCTGCGATTTTCGTTTTCATAAAGCGCTCCTCAAGAAGTGGTAGTTTGAAATTATTTTGTCAGTCCTTTCATGCGGGTTAGTTATGTACGTGTTTAGACGTGTACATGTACTTCAAGCATACGCTCACGATCTACAGCAAATTTACAGCAAAAATCTACAGCTAGCGGCACTTGTATGCTGCGTGTAGATAGCTAGTAGCGTTTCCAATACTGATGTTCGCTCAAAAATCAGATTAAAATTTAAAAAACCGAGCAATAAAAGACAGATTCAAAGACAAACTGTACAAAATAAGATACTATACTTAATAACTTTTCCTGTCTTTGTGAAACCAGTTACAGCAGTGCACTCGTAGATAAGGAGATATTGAGTAAGTGTCCATCCGAGCTGTAGTGTTTCAACCGCCCGTGCAGTTTCGATAAGCATAATAATTTTATGATTTTCACCGTCGTGACTTCTCCCGTGACTGTCACCACGTTTTAGCTATTCGCACTGCCTTTTTATAAAGATTTTGCACCATGATTGCCTACTGCCACCAGTTTACCCTTTTACACCTCTTTACATACGGGTGGCGGCAATTACCGTACTTTTTGTCAGCAATCTTCTGTTCAAACACACTGTCAAAAGCAAGGCAAGTAATGGAAGCGTAAGGGCTTACATGTAAATTCTAGTTGGTCCTGTGTGCTTGCCGGTTTTTTTAAATGTTTCAGCACGTTTTTATAAGATCTTACATTATAACTGATAACTACTTTTATCTCACACAGGGTACGCTGAAGTTCCCCTACCCATTTGTCCCAGCAACTCCGTAACCCTTTTCGAAACGTATGATAGGGGGACAATTGACGCCTTCAGAATACGTCCATCCAAACGTACATCGTGGGAAACTTCAGCGTTGGAAATCAGACGAAGTGCAGGAACATAACCGGACAGGAAACGGGTATCCATTCCTTTGCTTTTCAAATCCGCTTCAAAGGCCTCGAGTTTAAACGCCAAGAAAGCAATTTGATCCCCACTTTTGGCCTTTCCCGTATAAACCTTGACATTGCTTTTTACCTAGGGAAACGTAAACCTTGGTTTTCAGCGATGTTTTAAAAAAGCTAAACTTTGCGGAAATTGGCGCAACCTCTTTGTCAGCCGAAAACCTTCTGCCCACGTTATAGACGCTCAATGGCTGTATTCTAAAATACTTACCGTAACTGGTTCCGCTTTTTCGATTGCACCTTCGATAATCATGTTAAGGTCGCTGGGAGCTGACAAAATTTTCTGCTCCTTAGACTTTGGCGACAGCGGTGTCTGAGGAAGTGCGTGCTTGGCTTTTGGTTGCGGTTGCGTCTGCCAGGTAGCCGCTACTTTGCACATAAATTTCAGGACAAAATCACGGAGAGCTTCCCTGTTTACACACATTTCGACATCCACAATGTCCAGTACCTACACAAAGCCGTTCAAGAAAGATGAACATATTGCTTGTAATGTCTAGCTGATATGGACTTGTTTGGCTGATAGACTTGTATACGCAAATGTATGAACCTGTTAATTTTTCGCAACGTCCGGAACAAAACAGTTGCAGGTCAAGACTATGACCGTGCATGTTGTTGTGTCAGATCATTATGGCGCGTAACACTTCGGCCGCACAGAATCACTTCGGGCAACGCTCACTCCGGTCGGAGCTCACTTTTTCGTAAATTTCTTTCGTTTTCATCTGTTGTTTTGTATTTTCAAGTTTTTCGGAATTCCTTGGTTTTCAAAGTCGACTTTGCGCGATCCTCACTTTTCTCGAGCGATCATGCAGGCTTATAGTGGACAACACTGAGCTTGTACATGTTGAAATATGTACCAGCGGTTATCACCAGGCATTTTGTTCAGTTAAGCTTGGTTTGGAATGTGTATTTTTTCTCTTGAAGGTTGACGCGGTTCTTATTTAGTACAACTCACTTGTCCCGAGGTTTCGCATCAAGGTTAATATTTTACGCTCGTAGAATGACGGCAGAAGAGTACACAAGCCGAAGTGGAAGTCGGCGATGTGTGCTGCGGCCGAAGTGAATGACGGCTGAATACTTGGGCCGAAATGAGGGTGGCCGAAATAAGATCGAAGTCATTGGTAGTCGTTTGTGGGCTAGCGTGCGTGTGTTGAGGAATCCGTAAGAGCTTACCGTGCAAGTGTATCCATAAATCAAGGATATGTTGAAACCAGTTCGCTGCTTTGACTGACCCATGCCGTACTTCGTCAACATTTCAATAACTTCGGGGAAGATCGAGTCACTGTAACGCGCGACTGCCGCAATCTCAGTATCGCGGCATACGTACAGTTTCTCCGCATGCTGAGACAGGAAGCTGAACGAACTCTTGTCCTGAATCCGTAACGAGGCACTGCGTTCCGCAATTTGCTCCGAGAAAGACACAAGACTCCCGCGCGATATGCCTCGGATGCTGTGGAATTGTCTCGTTAATTCTGACTGTATAACAAATAGGAAAAAACTGAAACAACCCACCCGTCAAAGTTACGAAAGTCTGCCAGTGCATCAGAGTTCAGCGTAATAATTGCCGAAGTCCGCGGATATTTCCGTTCTGTGTAATTCGCTAACGCTTTCTTCTCGTAGGTGTCTTCGATTGCTGCCTTCACAATTTCTGGGCCGACTGGATCGTGTATCACAACCGGAAGGTTTTGTGTTGTGATGAAGTCTCTCAGTGCCGCTACGGTAGTACTTTTTAAGTCGCACAGTTGAGATGCGCCTTGCGCAAACATTTCCAACACCATACTGGCAACAAACGATTTTCCGCAGTTTGTGTCTCCATACAAGAACAGTACCGGCATTCGCTTGAAATTTGCAATGGTAACGTCGTAATGAAAACCAGCATAAGCGCCCCCTGAAAATGCATGAGTAAGAGTACGAAATAGCGATTTTTAAAACTGACGAAAACCTTTTGCCTGCGTCAACTGCTATGCGTTGGCAGATTTAATACTGGAGCGTGAATTATGTAGTACAATATTACATCAGCATGCGACAGCTTAACGTGTTCACCCTTTTATTAAAGAAATAAACGAATTCTTTGCTCAAACCGGCCATGGATGGCAAGAAACGTTAAGGCAAAGCCGCAGCTACGCTTTGTAAACTCCCAGAAACGTACAAATGAAAGGTCAGCTGGCACAAAAGCGCCATGTAAGTTCATTTTTTGCTAAGTCATAATTTTTCCAACAGTGCAAAACCATTGAGTTTCAGTGTCAAAGCATAAATGCTCTAAGTAGAACGTGAAGAACCGTAGAAGCATAAGCGCCCCTGAGTGCACTACAGTATGCACTATGCATTATACTGGCTTTGTAACGTTAAGGTACTGTATCTGTATCTTCATGGGTGCTGGTACGTTTAATAATACCTTCGTCCTTTCATGGGAGATGTTAAACTCGCCACCGTTACTTTGCGATGTCGATAACAAGTACTGCAAAGGGCGCAAGACGCACTATACTTTGACAAGCGCATTAAATGCTCTTTGAAACGCGTTTCATTTTCGTTGTGTATTATATCGTAGAATAGCATGCCGAGCAGATGTAGAGAAAGATCAGATG